TCTTCCTCGCCTTCGCTGCGGTAAAAGCATCGATAATGGAGTTAAAATCAATCTTCTCGACCTCTTCCCGTTCAACACTCAGCAAAGCAAGGTGGCTCAACCGATCCTGTCCCATGGAGGCTCGAAGATAGTTTAAAATCAATTTTAATTTGCTGAAAGATCTTTCGCAGCTCGCAATCGAAACAGCAATCGTTAATAAGATCTGAATGGCGATTCGAATATTCGGGAACACGCTCTCATCTCCGTATTGCACGATGAACAGCAGAACATCTTCAGGTCGTGTTAGTTTGACGTTCGTCCTCGTACTGATCATCATTCTGAAGTCCAAAATCTGTGATCTTTATAAATTAATCTTTTTATAATATATAATTTTAAATATTTAAATAATAATTTATGTTTTTAGTTTTATTATTTATTTATAATTTTTTAATGATTAAAATAAAAATTAAATTAAGGGATTAATTTTCATTTATTGATTTTTGCTAGGAATATACAATTTTATATTATTTAATAATATATAAATTAATCTTTTTATAATATATAATTTTAAATATTTAAATAATAATTAATGTTTTTAGTTTTATTATTTATTTATAATTTTTTTGGTTAATATTTTTATTATTATTTTATTTTACATGTAAATTTTTGTGTGAAATGATTTAATTTAAAAAAAAATAAAATTAATTGATTTATTCGCAGTAATTAATATTAATTAAAAAAGAAATTTTGTATTAGTAATAATATATAGTATTGGTAAAATTTGTGCCAGCTACCGCGGTTATACAAATAACACAAGTAAAAAAATTTAGTATTAGTTAAACTATAAAATTTAATAATATTTGAAATTTTTAAATTTATTTATTTATTATTAAAAAGAGTGATTTAAGCTATAAACTTTTTGTAATAAACTAGGATTAGATACCCTATTATTGAAAATAAATATTTAAATACTAAAGCAGTATTAGTTATATTCTTAAAATTTAAAAAAATTGGCGGTGTTTTAGTCTATTTAGAGAAATCTGTCCTGTAATTGATAATCCGCATTGAACCTTACTTAAATTTGTTTAATTTGTATATCGCCGTCATCAGAATATGTTATTAGATAAAAAATTTCTAAATATTAAATTAAATAAAATGTCAGGTCAAGGTGCAGTTTATATTTAAGTAGAGATGGATTACAATAAATTTATTTAAATGGATAATTTTTTGAAATATAAATTTGAAGGTGGATTTAATAGTAATATAAAAAAGATTATTTATATGAATTTAGCTCTAAAGCATGCACATATCGCCCATCGTTCTTATTTTTAAAATAAGATAAGTTGTAACATAGTAGATGTACTGGAAAGTGTATCTAGAATGACAATTTAAAGCTTAATTAGTAAAGTATTTCATTTACATTGAAAAGAAATTTGTGCAAATCAATTTAAATTGATTAAATTTTATTTATTAATTTTATGTATTTTTATATTTATTTAATAAAAATAATTTTATATTTATTTGTTTTAGTATTTTTTAAAGAAAAAATAATTTTATAATAGTTTATTAGTATTTTAAAAGAAAATTGAAATAATTTGAAAAATTTTTATTTTAAAAGAAAATTTAATTTATTGTACCTTGTGTATCAGTGTTTATTAATTAATTAATTATTATATTAATTTTTCTCGAATTTTGAAGATAATTATTATTTATAAAATTTACTGTAGCATAATTATTTTAAATATATAATTAGAAATGAAATGTTAATCGTTTTAAAATATATCTAGTTTTTTAAGGAATAAATTTAATTTAGATTTATGAATTAAAAATTTTCTTTTTTTAATATTTTTATTTTATAAAATTAATATTTTAAGGGATTAGCTTTAAAATAAATTTTTAAATTTTAAATAAAATATTTCAATAAATGTAAGCTTAAAAATAGTTATCATTAATAAATTTGTTATAATTTATTTTAATTTTTTTATTATTTATTGTTAAATTAAATTATTTATTAAAATATAAATTTTAATTATTAAAATTTATTAATTATGATAAAATTAGTATATTTAATTTATATAAATTATTTAAAATGAAAGGTTTAAATAAGGAATTCGGCAAATTATATATTCACCTGTTTATCAAAAACATGTCTTTTTGAATTTAATTTAAAGTCTAACCTGCCCACTGATAATATTAAAGGGCCGCAGTATTCTGACTGTGCGAAGGTAGCATAATCAATAGTCTTTTAATTGGACGCTTGTATGAATGGTTGAATGAGATATATACTGTCTTTTTTAAATTTTTATAGAATTTTATTTTTTAATTAAAAAGTTAAAATGTAATTAAAGGACGAGAAGACCCTATAGATCTTTATTTTTGTTGATTATAAATTAAAAAGAATAATTAAATTTGTATTTTAATAAAAATTTTTACTCGGGTGGTATTAAAATTTAAATACCTTTTATTATTTATTTACATTAAAATATGAATAATTGATCCAGTTATATTGATTATAAAATTAAGTTACCTTAGGGATAACAGCGTAACTTTTTTTTTTAGAGTTCATATCGACAAAAAAGATTGCGACCTCGATATTGGATTAAGAGTTATTTTTAGGTGTAGAAGTTTAAAGTTTAGGTCTGTTCGACCTTTGAATTCTTACATGATCTGAGTTCAAACCGGCGTAAGTCCTTAATTAAATTGTTATATTATAGTACGAAAGGACCTAATTTAAAAAATATAGATTTTAAAATTATGAATAATATTAATATTTAATAAACTATTTTGGCAGATTAGTGCAATAAATTTAGAATTTATTTATATAATTTAATTAATTATAAATAGTATTGTTTTTAATAGATTATTTAGTATCATTAATTGGAAGTTTATTATTAGTTATTTGTGTTATAGTTGGAGTTGCTTTTTTAACTTTATTAGAACGTAAAGTTTAAGGTTATATTCAAATTCGGAAAGGACCAAATAAAGTAGGATTTATAGGATTATTACAACCTTTTAGAGATGCTGTAAAGTTGTTTACTAAGGAACAAACTTATCCTTTATTATCAAATTATATTTTTTATTATTTTTCTCCTATTTTTTCTTTACTTTTATTTCTTTTAATTTGAATATGTTTACCTTATTTAATTAAACTATATTAATTTAATTTAGGAGTTTTATTTTTTTATGTATTACAAGATTGGGTCTTTATACTGTTATAGTAGCTGGTTGATCTTCTAATTCAAATTATGCTTTATTAGGAGGTTTACGGGCAGTAGCTCAAACTATTTCATATGAAGTAAGTTTAGCTTTAATTTTATTAAGTTTTATTTTTTTAATTGGTAATTATAATTTTTTAAATTTTTATTTATATCAAAAATATATTTGATTTATTGTATTTTGTTTTCCTTTAGCTTTAGTTTGATTTGCTTCATGTTTAGCTGAAACTAATCGAACTCCTTTTGGCTTTGCTGAAGGAGAGTCTGAGTTAGTTTATGGATTTAATGTTGAATATAGAAGAGGAGGTTTTGCATTAATTTTTTTAGCTGAATATTCAAGTATTTTATTTATAAGAATGTTATTTAGAGTAATTTTTTTAGGTAGAGATATTTATAGAATTATATTTTTTTTTAAATTAACTATAATTTCTTTTTTATTTATTTGAGTACGTGGTACTTTACCTCGATTCCGTTATGATAAATTGATATATTTAGCTTGAAAAAGATTTTTACCTATATCTTTAAATTATTTATTTTTTTTTATTGGTTTAAAAAATTTTATTTTATCTTTATTATTTTAATGAATATTTTTTAGTACAAAAATTAATAGAAGGATTTACTTCTTTCTTATGTTTTCAAGACATATGCTATAAAAGCTTATTAATTAATTTAATAATTTATCTCAATATTTAGTTAATAAAGGATTAATTAAAAAATAAGAAAAGTATAAAACTGTTTAAATTTGTCCTGTCAAAACATAAGGATCTTCTACAGGTCGTGCTCCAATTCATGTTAATAAAGAAGCTACAATTACTATATTTCAAAATAAAATTTGATTTAATAGATAAAATTGAAGTCCTCGGAATTTACTAATATGAGTAAAAGGTAAAATTATTAAAATAGCAATAGATAATACTAATGCAATTACTCCTCCTCCTCCTTATTTATTAGGAATTGATCGTAAAATTGCATAAGCAAATAAAAAATATCATTCTGGTTGAATATGAACAGGAGTAACTAAAGGATTAGCAGGAATAAAATTTTCTGGATCTATTAATAAATAATTAAATTTTCAAATAAATCCAATTAAAATTCAAATAAAAATTACAAATACAAATACGTCCTTATAAATAAAATAAGGAAGAAATGGAATTTTATCTACATTTCTATTTAATCCTAATGGATTATTTGAACCTGTTTGATGTAAAAATAATAAATGAATTATTGTTAAAGCTAAAACAATAAAAGGTAAAATAAAATGGCATGTAAAAAATCGTGTTGAAGTAGCATTATAAACTGCAAATCCTCCTCAAATTCATTGAACAAGATCTGTTCCTAAATAAGGAACTGCTGATAAAAGATTTGTAATTACTGTGGCACCTCAAAAGGATATTTGTCCTCATGGTAAAACATATCCTAAAAATCCTGTTGCTATTACTATAAATAAAATAATTACCCCAATTATTCATGTTGGAGTAAATAAATAAGAACTATAATAAACTCCTCGTCCTACATGGATAAATAAACAAGCAAAGAAAAAGGAAGCTCCATTAGCATGACAAATTCGTAAAAATCATCCATTATTAACATCTCGATAAATATGATTTACTCTATTAAAAGCTGTTTCAATATCAGCAGTGTAATGTAAAGCTAAAAATAATCCAGTTAAAATTTGAATAATAAGACATAATCCTAATAATGAACCGAAATTTCATCAAGCAGAAATATTAGAAGGGGCAGGTAAATCTACTTATGCATTATTAGCAATTTTAAATAAAGGGTGAGTTTTTCGTAATGATTTAGTCATTAATTTATTGGACGTAAGGGCCCATAATTTTTTTTTGTAATTTTTACTGCTACTAATAGTGTTAAAAATAAATAATTAATTAATATTAAAGTAATTAAATTTGTAGGAAAGTTATATATTTTATTTAGTTCAATTAAGTTTTCTGGTATTAAAGAGTTATTAAAAAATAAATTTATTTCATTATTATTAATAAAATTTTCAATAACCGATTTATCAATTAAGAAAGAAAAGATTATAAAAATTATTATTATTATAATTACTATAAATGATAACTTAAATGATATTGAAAATATTTCATTTGATGAAAGAGATGTTACATAAATAAATAAAATTAATATTCCTCCTATAAAAATTAAAAATAACACATAAGAAAATCGAAATGTTTTTACATATAATCCAGTTAATGAAGAAGTTAAAAAAGTTTGAATTAGTAGTATTAATCCTATTGCTAAAGGATGTTTTATTTGTATAAAAATAAATCTAGTAATAAAAAAGGTTAATATAATAAATATTATAATATCAAGAAATAGTTTATAATAAAATATTAAAACTAATGGTAAATTTATTTATGTGTTATTTAATTATTATTATATTTATTTTTGGATGTATTGTATTTATTTCTAGTCGAAAACATTTATTATGTACTTTATTAAGATTAGAATTTATAGTATTAATATTATTTATTTTCTTATTTTTATATTTAAATTTTATAAATTATGAAAGATACTTTAGTATATTTTTTTTTAACTTTTTGTGTTTGTGAAGGAGTTTTAGGTTTATCTATTTTAGTTTCTATAATTCGAACCCATGGTAATGATTATTTTCAAAGTTTTTCTATTTTACAATGTTAAAATTTATTTTTATAATTTTATTTATATTTTTTTTTGTTTAAAAAAAAAATATGTACTGTATGGCTCAGAATTTGATTTTTTTATCTACTTGTTTATTTATACTTAAAATTAGATCAAATTATTATTTTTGTGATATTTCTTATTACTTTGGAATAGATATAATTTCCTATGGATTAATTTTATTAAGTTTTTGAATTTGGGGGTTAATATTAATAGCAAGAGAAGGAGTAGTTCGTTACAATAATTAGGGGAAATGACGGCTTCGGCATGACAGACTATTTTCGGCAACCCAAATTGAAACACTATTTTCACTGGATTTTCTTACGAAAACACTTCGCTGAATGCATGCAAACGATTCTTTATGCTTTCAGCTTCAATTTGACTATATTTTTACCACTGAGAAAAAGCAATCTAGCAGGGTTTTCTTGAAATGAAACACACGCACTACAAATTGTAGCTGATTTCGAGTTGCCGATAATAGAACAGCAGATTTACATGCAGTTCAAATGGAACGGTTGCCGAAGAAAAACTGGTTGCCGACAATACTCGCTCTCACTAGAGAAGATTGGAGCTTTGTAAAAGCGTTTCAAAACAGTTTTTGACAATTCTTTCGACTGAAATTGTTAGAGCAGCTGGCAGCAAAACATTGTAAACAAACCAATACTGCATATGTGTGCGTTCCATAGAGAAAAAGGCTATAGAAAGAAGGTCGCTGCTTAGGTTGCCGAGAATACGTAAATTCCCCTATATTAATTTATCTTTATTTATAATTATTTTTTATTATTAATATTTATTTTTACTTTTAGTTCTGTAAGAATATTTATATTTTATTTATTTTTTGAAAGTAGATTAATTCCCACTTTATTTTCAAAGTGTTTTTTATGTTACTTCATACGCGAAGTTAACGATTTTCAGAGTTGGTTGGAAATGCTAACATGAAGCTTTAGTGTGATGATTTATTAGCTAGAGAATGATCTTTAGAAGAGGGTAGGTGGATAGTTCCGTTAGAGTACGGCAGTATGAAAATTGAATAGAAGTTGAAAATGAGCGAAGGGCCATTAAAGCGACAGTTTTACAAGATAGACGCACATTTTTGCCTAGCCCGTACGATGTACGCGGGGACTTGAAGTATGTCTCCAAGTCCACAGGCTGTGGACTTGGAGACATACTTCAAGTCCCCGCGTACATCGTACGGGCTAGGCAAAAATGTGCGTCTATCTTGTAAAACTGTCGCTTTAATGGCCCTTCGCTCATTTTCAACTTCTATTCAATTTTCATACTGCCGTACTCTAACGGAACTATCCACCTACCCTCTTCTAAAGATCATTCTCTAGCTAATAAATCATCACACTAAAGCTTCATGTTAGCATTTCCAACCAACCCCCCCACTTTATTTTTAATTTTAGGTTGAGGGTATCAACCTGAACGATTACAGGCAGGAATTTATTTATTATTTTATACTTTATTAGCTTCTTTACCTTTATTAATTGGTATTTTTTTTTTATTAAAAATGATGATTATACAATACATTTTATTATACTAAGTTATAAAAATTTATATAATTTAGATTTTTTATATTTATGTATAGTATTTGCTTTTTTAGTAAAAATACCAATATTTTTAGTTCATTTATGACTTCCTAAGGCTCATGTAGAAGCCCCAGTTTCTGGTTCAATAATTTTAGCTGGAGTTTTATTAAAATTAGGAGGATATGGATTACTTCAAGTTTTTTTCTATTTTACAAAGTTTAGGTATAAAATTTAATTTTATTTGAATTAGAATCAGATTAATTGGGGGAGTTTTAATAAGATTAATTTGTTTATGACAAATAGACTTAAAGGCTTTAATTGCTTATTCTTCTGTTGCTCATATAGGAATTGTTTTAAGTGGTTTAATAACTATAACTTATTGAGGATTAAATGGTTCTTATACTTTAATAATTGCTCATGGATTATGTTCTTCTGGTTTATTTTGTTTAGCAAATATTTCTTATGAACGTATAGGAAGACGAAGCTTATTAATTAATAAGGGAATATTAAATTTTATACCAAGATTATCTTTATGATGATTTTTATTATGTTCTGGGAATATAGCTGCTCCTCCTACATTAAATTTATTAGGAGAAATTTCTTTATTAAATAGAATTGTAAGTTGATCTTGACTAACAATAATTAGTTTTGCTTTTTTATCTTTTTTTAGTGCTGCTTATACTTTATATTTATTTGCTTATAGTCAGCATGGAAAAATTTATTCAGGGGTTTATTTTTTTTCTTCAGGTAGAGTTCTGGAATTTTTATTATTAATATTACATTGATTACCTTTAAAATTATTAATTATAAAGAGTAATTTTTGTATATTATGAATTTAATTATTATATTTAAATAGTTTAATAAAAATATTGATTTGTGGTGTCAATGATATGAAATTTTTCATTCTAGATCGTGAATTATTTAATTAATTATTGTAAAAATAGATTTTATATTTTAATTTCTATTAGATTTATTTTATTTATTTTAAGATTAAAATTTTTATTAAAAGATTTAGTATATTTTATTGAATGAGAAATTGTGTCTCTTCATTCTATATCAATTGTAATAACTTTTTTATTTGATTGAATAAGTTTAATATTTATATCTTTTGTTTTATTAATTTCTTCTGTAGTAATTTTTTATAGAAACCAATATATAGGAGAAGATTTTAATGTAAATCGTTTTATTTTATCAGTAATAATATTTGTTTTTTCAATAATAATATTAATTATTAGACCTAATTTAATTAGAATTTTATTAGGATGAGATGGGTTAGGTTTAGTTTCATATTGTTTAGTTATTTATTTTCAAATTGTAAAATCTTATAATGCTGGAATATTAACAGCTTTATCAAATCGAATTGGAGATGTTGCTTTATTGTTGGCTATTGCTTGAATATTAAATTATGGTAGTTGAAATTATATTTTTTATTTAGATATAATAAAATCAAATTTTGAAATAATAGTTATTGGAAGATTAGTTATATTAGCTGCTATAACTAAAAGAGCTCAAATTCCATTTTCTTCTTGATTACCTGCAGCAATAGCTGCTCCTACCCCTGTTTCAGCTTTAGTTCATTCTTCAACTTTAGTAACAGCAGGAGTTTATTTATTAATTCGATTTAATATTTTATTAGAAAATACTTTTTTAGGTCAATTTTTATTATTAGTTTCTGGATTAACTATATTTATAGCAGGATTAGGGGCTAATTTTGAATTCGATTTAAAAAAAATTATTGCTTTATCTACATTAAGTCAATTAGGTCTTATAATAAGAATTTTATCAATTGGTTTTTATAAGTTAGCTTTTTTTCATTTATTAACTCATGCTTTATTTAAGGCTTTATTATTTATATGTGCTGGTGTAATTATTCATAATACTAAAAATGCTCAAGATATTCGTTTTATAGGTAGTTTAAGAATAAGAATACTTTTAACTTGTAGTTGTTTTAATATTGCTAATTTAGCATTATGTGGTATACCATTTTTAGCAGGATTTTATTCAAAGGATTTAATTTTAGAAATAATTATATTATCTTATATATTTTTTTTCTTTTTTTCTTTTTTTTTCTACTGGTTTGACAGTATGTTATTCTTTTCGATTAGTTTATTATTCAATAACAGGAGATTTTAATAGAACTTCTTTAAATATATTAAATGATAGGGGGTGAACTATATCTTTTAGAATTTTTTTTTAATAGTAATAGCAATTATTGAGGGGAGAATATTAAATTGATTAATATTTTTTAATCCAGAAATAATTTGTTTACCTTTTTATATAAAAATATTAACTTTATTAGTATGTATTTTAGGTGGAGTAATAGGTTATTTAATAAGAAATGTAAAGTTATTTTTTTTTAATAAGTCATTAGTATTGTATAATTTTAGTTTTTTTTCTGGAAGTATATGATTTATACTTGTTATTTCTACAATTGGTGTAATTAAATGACCATTAATTTTAGGAATACATTCTTATAAAAGTTTTGATCAAGGATGAAGTGAATATTTTGGAGGTCAAATATTATATATACAATTAAAAAATTATACATTATATATTCAGGAATTTCAAAATAATAATTTAAAAATTTATTTATTAAGTTATATATTATGAGTAATTATTTTGGTAATAATAATGTTATTTTTAAAATAATAAAAATTTAAATAGCTTATATTTAGAACATGACATTGAAGATGTTTGGGAAATTATAATAATTTTTAAATATTATATAAAATATTAATAAAAAATAAATTTTTATTTTTACAGTGAAAATGTAATGTTTTAATTTAAACTGTATAAATAATTTTATAAGAAATATGATGATCGAGAAAAAGCTGCTAACTTTTATCTTTAATGGTTTAATTCCATTTATATTTCTTAATTGGAATATCAAATTATTCAATGATATCATTAACAGTGATATACCTCTTTTTGGTTTCAATTAATTAAGATAAATTGAATAAATTCAATACTTTTTAATGCAAATTAAATGTTATAATTAACTATTATCCTAAATTAAAAATATGGGTGAATTTCACCTAAGATTAGGCCGAAACTAATTGCAATAAATCGCTTCATATTTAATTATTTCATTCTAAGGCCCCTTGGTTTCATTCATGATATAATCCTGCTAATAAAATGAAAATAAAAAATAAACTAGTAATTGATCAATTAATTATATTTGATGTTTTTATAATTAAAATTATTGGTAAAATTAATGCAATTTCTACATCAAAAATTAAAAAAATAATAGCAATTAAAAAAAATCGTAATGAAAAAGGTAATCGAGAATAATTTATTGGGTCAAATCCACATTCAAAAGGAGATGATTTTTCTCGATCAGTAATTGTTTTTTTTTTGATAAAATTGTAGCTAGTATTATTACAATAATTGTAATAGTAAAAATGATGCATCTTATAATTAATAATATAA